AACCAGGACCAACACATCTTATTAGGAAGACAGGTTCCAATAAGGAAAAGTTGAAGAATTAGTGTTTTCAAGTGTGGACAGGATGGTCTAGTGAGGCAGGAAATTCCTTTCATTAGAAGTGCATTTTCTTTGAAGGCTTTTTTTGTGTGTATATGAGCCATCCTTTCTTGTTTCTTTGCACATCTTGTTATTGTTGTTGAGAACGAGACATTTTAAATAATAAAATGTGGCAACTCCGGAAATCAGATTCTCCTCCCTGCCCCGAGTTTGTTGAGGTTGTTGTTCACTTGTTCCTTAAAAACCTTCCTGAACTAATTCTATAAACTCTGTATTCTTTGTCATGTGTGGGCACTGAAGTCTGCTCAGGTAACTTAGGGGTCAGTTGATGCCTGGAACCAGTAAGCTTCCCAGTCTCTGTCAAGGGTGCATAGAGCTTCAAAGTTAGCCAGAGGTAAGATCTTAGTGCCTTCCTGGGTCTTTCCTTAGCATGTGCACAGCCCTGGGCAGGAGCACTGCCCGCCTCATGTGTGGAACTTTGCAGATCCCCACAAGTATCCCAGAACTTTGCCAAGGCCCCTGGGGACTTCTCATTCCCCCAGATTTTCTTTCTAAGCTTTTTGACTAGCTCATTGTGTGCAATTATTATGCACTGCCGCAGGCAACCTCAGTGTTCCTCTGGTGGCTTTTGACAAACACCCTCAGGGAAAAGGCTGTTGGGCTGGTTGAGCTCCAACTCAGGTTCAAAGAAAAACAGCCTTGCAAATGAGGTCTTCCAGGGAACCATGAGATAGGACAAATAATGACAATTATCTGAGAATGGGGCTTTGAAGGAGCTCCAATCCTATTCTGTTGCCTCTGGCTTCCAGGCCACTGGTTTTCACCATAATTATGGACTGTTGATTTTCAAGGCTACTGCAGAGCTGGAGAGTGGGGCTGGGAGAGGGCTAATTAAAATGTGACAGAGCTTGCTGTTCTGACTGAGACTTAGGTACTTTTCTTGAATAATGCTCCTCAGATTGCTACAAGATTGGTTAATTTTCAGAGTTCTAAAAAAGCTGATTTTGCTAGTTCTTTCATTGCTTATGTGGAAGAGAGACTATTTAGAGGTCGTTTCTCTGCCAGTTCTGCCACTGTTGTTCTGGAAGTGCTTTTTAGCCATATTCTTAAAGGTTAAGAAGTCGAACTCACTAATTTCCCAAGTCCCCTCCCACTCTAGAACATTCAGTGTTAACTAGTATATCGCATCCCCCAAAGCATCCTGGATGATATAATTTACTATGCTTTTTTAAATAAATGTGGTTGTTTAAAATATAATCAGAACAGACTTTCCCCAAAGCCAAAATATGAAACTCAATAGACTGTAGTTCAGTTATCAATCCTCTGCTTGATTTTACTCACAGATTTGAAAAAGAAACATTACCTTTCCTGTATTTTTTTTAAGTTCGAATGAATTAGTCAAAAGGGATAGGAGATCTTATGCCAATAAGAAGAACTATATATCATGATAATGCTGCCTCGTTCTCACAAAAGAAGAAGAGCTATATAGGTAAAATTTAAGTAGCAGTGACTACTGAAAAGCTAAAACTCAAATGATAATCGACTTAAAGCATTTCACAGGATTGAAACATCACCATATGTATATCTTGAACAATTTACATTTAATTCTGAAGCTCATTTTAATTATTATTACCAGATTATTGATGTGTCCATTCTAACTAATCATTTATTTACTTATTAAACATCCATTTTTATTTTAAGTACTGAGAATATAGGTAAGGAATTAATATTATCCACAGTCATTTTATATCAATTTCTTTTTTCTAAAGATGGATCTGGTGATCTGGTACTGGCAATGAGGTTAAATAATGTATCCGTATAAATTAATTTTCCAAATGTTTGAAGCTAAACCTTTTAAATTTGACTATCTTTAAGGTGACCCTTTCCAAACTATATTAAATACCTCTCTGCTTCATGAGAAGGGTAGTGATCAATGTCTCAGTAGCAAATAATCATTTTAGGTCATTACTTCACTATCCCGAAAAACAGCATCAGCCACTGTGGCTCTTATGAGCAAGGGCTGTTGTTGCATCAATACTCAGTAGTGACACAATGCTGTGATTTTGGCATTTTCATACTCTTTTAAAACGTGTTGTACCTTGTACTTGTTCATTCATACTTGCTTTTCATAGATTTTCTATCTATTTTAATTTGAGCTTTCTAATCTTTCATGGGCCAACACACCAGATCAGAGCTGACACCCACTGGACTCTTACCATGTACTAGACCCCACTCTAAGTATTAAGTGTGTTTATTCATTTAATTTTCCCAATATCCCAGGTAGGTAGGCACTATTATTACCTTTTTCAGATGGGAAAACTGAAGCAGAGAGAGTAAGTAACTTGCCCAAAGTCACATAGCTTATAAGTAGGAGAGCAGGGATTTGAAATTCAGAATTCTGGCTCTGTGGTTCATGATCTTAACTATTATTCTATCCTGTGCCATGCAAGAATCCTTGTTAGAATTACACATAAATATAAGAGTGAGTTCGCTCTGATAGACTAGCTGAATGAAACTCTTTGAAAAGGATTTGAACTTCGGTGAATTTTGTGACACACAGAATATATATGTGTGCGTGTATGTGTATGCATGCATGTACATGCATGTTGGTGTGAGTATTGAAAAAGTAAGATGGCCAGAGAAGGGATTTTATTAAACCAGTGTTAATTAGTATTAAATTTTAAATATTTTAATTTCGCTTTTGGTGAAATTGATGACATTTTGCTAATCTTTTGCTGTTAATTTGCATTACGTGATTGACTAGAAAAAGCTCTTGAAATATGTCTATGACTAGTTCTGCATGATTTTTTGCTTCTTGAGAATAATGACTTACTGGAGTAAGGTTACTGATCAACCCTCTTTGGAAATCTAAGAATTATGTATTATTCATTCTTTTCCTCCACTATAATGCGCAAATTAACAACTGATTCAGTAGTCTTGCTTTCCTTGATTTAGTTGAGTTCTTTGTGGAATCTGGAGAAGAAAACAAGGAGGCAATTTTCTAAGTAATTATCGATTTCTTTTTATTCAAGTAGCTGCCTCAATAGGGGTAAGCAGACCAAGTCACTGTTTACCGCAAACTCAGAAGAAAAGTTTTGAAAAGTCAAGTTCTTTTTGTTGGGAGATAGTTTTCCATGGGTCTCTTGCATTTCTGCATGTCTTGTGAGTAGAAGCACTGGATGCTTTTGTTTTGGACTATCTTTTCAAGGGTGGTTTTTAAAATTTATTTATTTATTATTTATTATTTATTTGAGAGAGACAGAGAATGAGCAGGGGGAGGAGCAGAGAGAGAAGGACAAGCAGACTCCACGCTGAGCTTGGAGCCCGACACAGAACTCAGTCTCATGACCCTGAGATCATGACCTGAGCCAAAATCAAGAGTCAGACACTTAACTGACTGAACCACTCAGGCATCCCTCTTTTCAAGGGTTTTTGCACAGAAAACAGCCTTGAAGGTAGAGATAGTGTCTCCCTCCAGAGAAAAGAGTGGGTTTATTTACTGTCCAGTATAATGATATCTTTCTTCAAAGCAAAGGACAAGTATGTTTACTGCCCATTATGTAAGATTAAGGTTCCCTAAACTTGAGATTTCTCTTCCAAAATGCAGCCAATGTGTACGCAGGTATTATCTGACTGTCTCTGTGTTGCCAGATCTTGAGGAACTGGCACATGCTCTGGCTATTGCTGTTGCTGTGAGTAATAAAATCTTTGGTCTCTGTCTTCCGCCAGAAGTCCATGAAACTGTGACAGGCTAATTAGTTTGCTTCCAAATAGAGTAAAATCTCAGAATCTTCAAAATTCTTGAAATTTATTATTATAAAATTCTTTCCTAGATTTTCACCTTCCTTTAGAATCAGCTTCCCTTTAGAAGAATGAATTATCATTTCTTTGTTGTGGACTCAATGGAGACATGGCATGTTCTCTAGGCTTTGTTCGCCGGAGAAGTGACTTATGGCAGTTGTTAGTCACATTCTCCCTCCTTCCCTTTGCCCCACCCCTCCCGTGATCCTTGGTTATAGTTTTTCTTTCTTTCTTTTTTTTTCCCCCTCTTCTTCTCTTTCAGAATTCTCTTCTATCACAGGCACTCCTTAGGCTTTTATACTTAAAACTAAACACAAGCAAACAAAAACCTTGCTTATCTTTTGAAGTCAGGTGTCTTTAGTGTGTAGGGGAGCTAAAGATTCTTTCAAACCCTTACCTGGTGGAACTAGAACTTGATGTCATGGCAGAAAACCCCCCGTGTGTATTTCTTCTATGAGCAGTGGGCAGAAGTGTATGCATGTGGGGTTGGGGAAGGGGAAGAGATGGGACTTCTACCCACCAGCATGTTTTAGCAGTAGACTGGGCAAACGTTCCTGATCCTTGGGGAAAAGTCTCTGACCAAATGAGCTATCATCTAAGAGTGAATACAAATAATAATAAGGAAACATTATTTTTGAAAATTTGGATCATTCTTGACCGGGGGTCAGCAATCTGTGGCCCTAAATCTGGCCTACCATGAGGTTTCACTGGAATGCAACCATGTGCTTTCATTTACAAACTGTCTATGGTGGCTTTCTGGTTACAGTGGCAGAGATGAGCAGTTGCCATAGAGACCATATGGCCAGCAAAGCCTAAAAGATTGACTATCTGACCCTTTACAAAAAAAAACAGTTTACCAACCCCTGCTCTACTTGTGTTTTATGCCAGTGGTTCTCAATTTCTGATTGTGAGGAAGACAAAAGAAGGAGAGAGCTCATCAGAATCACCTGGCCAGGCTTTTCAAAAAGTGCTCACCTCCATCTGCCCTCTGGTTTCTCATAGGCATTCCCTGTTGAGAGTCACTGTGTTAAACTTCTATGATTCAAATTGTTTGGTTCCATTAACTGATACAGATGGTTTGTTTTCATTATTTTGACCCTCTGTAACACCCCCAGAGTAATCCTGTGTTATTTTTTTTACAGGGTTGTGGGAAGAAAATGTATTCCTTTTTGAGAGGAACCAAACAACTACAGGTGCTAAGGTTTCTGGGAATCTCCATTGGAGTGACACAAATCTTGGCCATGATTCTCACCATTACTCTGCTCTGGGCTCTCTATTATGATAGAAGGGAGCCTGGGACAGACCAAATGATGTCCCTGAAGAATGACACGACTCAGCACCTGTCATGTCACTCAGTAGAACTGTTGAAACCAAGCCTGTCGAGGATCTTTGAACACACATCTGTGGCAAACAGCTTTACTACACACTTTGAGATGGAGGAATTATAGGGAACATCAAAGAAGGAAACCACAAATTTATTTTATTGGACTTCTGAATTTTTGAGTACACACGTATATGTTTCAGAAATGTGTAGAAATATTGCCATAAAGGAATGACTAAGCATATAATTTTCTACCCTTTAAAATAAAGAGGGAAAATTTCCATTTTATGTCACCACCTGGACAACGGTTGATGCCCTTTATAATGCTGAGGACAGATCTAATACCCACTTTATAGCCTGTATAAGATGGCATAGTTTGACCATCATTTCTGAAGCCATGTAAACAAGTTGTGCTATGGTGGATTTGGAGCTACAGTAAAGTTTGATTTACTTCCATAAGCTTGCTAGTATATCAAGTACCAATGAACTTCTAACATAGGAAATTAGGCAGTATTAATGAACTGTGTTGCTTGGTGACATACTCTTTTGAGAGTGGGTAGATTATACATAAGAAAACTCTGAAGATTGGTGACTACCTAAATGTGATTTTTTTTCTGGTTACTAAAATATTCTTATTACTTACAAGAGCAAATTAACACATTGTCTTAAACTGATCAGGGATCTATGTGTATATAAGAGTCTGTGTTAAGTCTGTATAATTCAGTAGATTTCAGTTCTTATAATGTTAAGAATAACAATCGTGAGTGAAAAGGATAAATTTGTTCTGTATAGCACCATTATTTTTAACCTTTCCTGTTAATAGAGCTTTAAAATTCCATGTTGGGCTTATATTACGTACATAACTGTTAATTTAAATACTTAACCACTAATTTTGAAAAATTGCCTGTGTGATGCATAGGAATCATTATAATTCAGAATGTAGCCTGGTCTCTAAGAAGTATTAACAAGAAAGCTTACACATAATGTAGTTCATTCAGCAAAATCTTGGATGCTACCTTTCTCCCAAACTAAGGCTCTTTTTGACAGTCAACACTTTTTAAAATGAGCTTACCTTTGTCTTCTTCAAACAAGAGGCAGTAGTCCGCAAGTCTGAATATAATTCTACAGAAACAGTGTTCCTTTTCTCCAGCAAAATGTCGTGAGAATCATTAAAATAAGTGACAATTTAACCAGAGATGTTCTTTGCTTTATTTCACTGATTAAGATACTGTGGTGAATTACACAGATTATTAAATTTTTTACAAGAGTAAAATATATTTATTTGAAATGGGGAGAGTGCATTTTACTGTATTTTGTGTGTTACGTTTATTTCTCAGAAAATGTAAAGAAAATTTAAATGTGTCAATAAATATTTTCTAGAGAGTAATCATTTGTGTCTAATTTTTATACATTATAAGCACTTTTACCACTCAACAAGATCAGCAAGGGGAGAGAAATATGAGAAGAAATGACTGAGTAAAGTAACAATAATGATTTCCAAACTCTGGAACTAATCTGTAAGGGGATGTATCCTCAGTAAGAAAAGATGAAAAGATGCCCATTTACTTTTCAGGTTTGTTTTTGAGCTAAATGATAAATAATGTGGCTGTTTGCTATAATATAAAAATATGCACATTCATGCTAATTTATCTTCTCAATGTTTTCACATCCCAGTCTCTAAAGTAATTTTTAGAAGAAAACGAGTCTAAGAAATGCAATATTTGAAATCAACTGCCAGATTTGATCTCTTCCATTGATTGAATTGAAAACTGAGTAAATCCTTTGCTCAGTCAGAACCAAAAGTATCCCTTTTTATAATTTCCTCAACACCCACCTCCCCATAACTTCACTTCAGAGGGAGAGGAAGAAACAGGCTCCCCGCTGAGCAGGGAACCTCATATGGGGCTCGATCCCAGGACCAAGAGCTGAAGGCAGATGCTTAACCCACTGAGCCACCCAGGTGCCCCTGAATGCCTGCTTTTTTTTGTTGGTATGTCTCAGGCACAGAAAGAATAAGCATATATTGTGTTGACCTCAGTTAAAAAAAAAATCCTCAAATTATAACTAAAAGTCAATTTCTACATTTCTAGACTTCGGCTATTTTGACCTGATTCAGTACTCTGGAACAGCCAGCATAAATTTAGGCAGTCATCTTATACAGACTGCACTGGCTTGATGGGAACGGATGGCATTTCCAGTGGTGGTCCACACCGGCCTCTTACGGTGGTGGGGCAGCTGGGAGAATAAAACTGCCAGAGACCTTAAAAAGTGTATTGACTATGGGAGCACTGAAGGAGTTCACTGTTTGGGTAAGCTACAAAGAAAATGGCTAAGTATTTCTTGGCGAGTTTTCAAAAGCTTTCTTTTCTAAAAATCACCACGTTTTTAAAGCAAAAATTTAAGATTATTTTCAGGCTAGTTAATAGTCCGTTCAAAGTGCCGTGGAGATTCAGAAATGACAATAGGAGACGGTGTCTGTTCTCAAGCACTGTAAAATCTGGTGGCGAGACACTTGTGCTGGTCACAGATAAAATTCATAGGAGAAGACACAGTCGGGCGGGGGGTTCGTGGTGAGGAAGAGCAGATGGAGAAGAGGGGAAGTAAGGCAGCTACATCAAAAAGGTGGCTTTCCAGCTGAGTCAGGAAGGAAGAGCGGTGTTTCGCTAACTCATGGAGAACATCCCATGACTCTGAAGTTAAAAAGTATATATTATTTGGGGGGCAGAGCTTGTCCTTTGATGTGGTTAAAGCACTGGATGCTTGAAGAGCTACCATGGGAAAGGAAATGGGTGAAATTTAGGTTTTTGGACTTCATTTCATAAGCTAAATGGGGGAGGTCATTGAAGTATTTTCAGAAGTGATTTGCCTTTCAGAAATTTAAGCGGATTAGCCAGTGAGAGACTGGTAGCTGTGAGACGGGTGCAGCTATTATGCAACCCCGTGGAGTGGCCACTCCTTATCTTGTGTAGGTACCAGCCACTCTGGAGTTCTAGAACACTCCGGAGTCTGGAGGGGGGCTGGCTAGATTGCTGTTGCTGTTGTCCTGGACAGAGAAGGATCCTCACCAGGGCAATGAAAGTAAAAAAATGGAATGCCTACAACAGATTACAACAGTGTGAATCCAAAAAAAATAGGCAGCAGATTGAGTATGGAATGAAAAGTAAAAGACCTGAAATTTCTAGATTTTATAGCCAGTAAATTGGCAATGGCATACCTAGATAGAAGACTGGAGGGGGAGCGGGTGTATGGGAGGGTAATTAGTTTGGTTTGGGACATTCCTAGTTGGACATGCCTGCAGGACATGCAGATGGAGATGTCTACAGGCAGTTGTAAATTCCAGACTGGAGCTCAGAGAGTTCACTGTTGAGCCCAAGAATTTTTATGCATTGCTTTCTGATCTCAGGAAGCCTGACAGAAAATGGGCTGAGAACCAAATCTAATATGAGGAGAATCTTAAGCAGGATGCTACAAAAGCTTCCTTTTGTCTGAACTCCCACTCCTGTGAATGAGTCAAGCAAGGTAAAGAAAAGAGAAATGAATATACCACTGAATCTTCTGTGGCAAAAGGAGCTGCCCCTTAAAAAAAAAAAAAAAAACTGCCAAGAGCTATATTGCTTATCCAACCCCCCTTCCAATTATCATCCTGTGATTTACAAGCGGATTCATCTTTCCTATTGACTGAGTTCTTATTTCCTCACCTCCAAGCATCTCTTAGAAGCATGTACGGGAAAGTCTGTCATACCATCTTGAAAACTCATTTATTTTCTCTTAGAATACGTTATTGTAATCATTCTTCACCTCATGCATTCACGGGTGCCTACCAGGAGCCAGGGCCCAGGGTGCTAGGTGTAGTACGCAGATTTTCTCAGCTCTCTACACCTTTTTTGCAATCTGTCGGCATCATGATCCCCATTTTACAAATGAAGAAGAGGGACTCAGAGAGATTGAGGAAGTGCTTTTCACTAGTAAGTGGCAATGCCCTGCCTTCTCCCCTCACCACTTTGTGATGTGGCATCTCCATCTACCTGTGGGGAAGCTCAGCTACTGCCTTACATAGAAAAGCCAAAACCTCTTCCATGTCAGTCTGTATCTCCAGGCCCAATTTGTCTCCGAATTCTGGTACTTCTTCCTTCAAAATGAGTAATTTTTCTTCTAATTTCATTCTTCCTACTATTTCCCAGAACAAGTCCAAATAATCTAAAACTTTGATTGAAGCCATACATTTCTCTCCTCTCCCACCTCTTGTCTCCTCCCATCGATCTATCTCGTACACATACACGGCCAAATTCATTTTTTTTAAGATTTTATTTATTTATTTAGTAATTTATTTATTTATTTTAGAGAGAAAGAGAGAGAGCAGGGAGAGGGGCAGAGGGAGAGAGAGAATCTCAAGCAGACTCCATGCTGAGTGGGGAGCCTGGCTTGTGAAGCTCGATCTCATGACCCTGAGATCATGACCTGAGCCAAAATCAGGAGTCAGACGTTTAACTGACTGAGCCAACCAGGCACCTCCAAAATAATTTCTTTAATCAACTTTATTTTAAGTACTAGTTTTACAAATATATACAGTTGTGTAACTACAACCACAATTGAGATATAGAATATTTCATCATTCCAAAAAGTTTTACCACATGCCTGCTTGCTGTAAAACCCTACAATCCCCATTCCTAGCCCCAGGCAACACTGACCTGTTATGTCACTCACTTCTTTTTCTTTTTTTTAAGATTTTTATTTATTTATTTGACAGAGAGAGAATGCACAAGCAGGGGGAGTGGCAGGCAGAGGGAGAAGGAGAAGCAGGCTCCCAGTTGAGCAAAGAGGCCGACGTGGGGCTCGATCCCAGGACCCTGGGATCATGACCTGAGCCAAAGGCAGACGCTTAACTGACTGAGCCACCCAGGCGCCCCGGTCACTCCCTTCCTATAAAACACAATTCCTATCATGTCGCTTCCTTATTCAAACACTTCCAGGAGTTCTTTGTTTTAATTAAGACAGAGCTTTCCAGCTCGTTTGTGTATGTGTCATTTATATGGCTCATTGGGCTAAATGAAGGTCCAAAATGACTGGCCATCCTAGGTCTTGCCTGACTAAATGTCCACTATGGGGAAGCAATAGCTCAGTGCCCAGGGGTGGCTGCAATACAAAATAGAATTGAGTTTATATTTCACAAGACACACATGTGTGAGTAGCCCAAGGAGTCAAGCCCTTCTCTCCTGCTGCTCTGCTCTGTTAGGGCATTTCCCTGGCTCACATGGTCCCACATGGCACACCTACTTCCACATATAAGCTGAAGAAAGGGGAAAGTGGAATGGGAGAAAACATGCTTCTTCCCTTTATGGGCATATCCAGAAACACACATCATGTCCATTCACATCTCACAGCTATAAGGGGGAGAAGGGATAGTCTTTGTTCCAGAAAACCATGTATCCAGTTGATCTAGGAAGTTTTATGACCAAAGAAGGAGGGGAAATTGGTATAGGTGTCAGCACACTCTACCACATTCCTCAGTGCTTGCAGAATAAAATCTTCCACTTGAACTTATTTTTCCAGACTTACCCCTTGTACTTTCCCACAGGTTAATATATACCAGCCATACGGGCCAGCCATGGTCTCCTCATTGCCTCTAACATGGTGGGATGTATCTTGGGCTTCCTTGATTTTGCTCACATCATGGTGCTCCTCTGACATACCTTCATATCCACAGGCTCACTTTGCACCTCAGCCTTTTTTAATTTTTTTAAAGATTTATTTATTTATTTCAGAGAGAGAAAGAGCAGGGAGAACACAAGTAGGGGGAGGGGCAGAGGAAGAGAGAGACAGAAAATCCTTAAGCAGGCTCCCTGCTCAGCACAGAGCCCAACGTGGTGCTCCATCCCAGGACCCTAGGACCCTGAGATCATGACCTGAGCCGAAATCAAAGAGTCAGTTGCTTAATCGACTGAGCCACGTAGGTGTACCTAACACTCAGCTTTTAAATCCCAGCTCAGCAGCCACTTCCTATGTGCATCTCCACCCGACTGCTCCAGCCCACAGCCCACAGCCCTTCCTCCTCTGAGCTCAGCATTTATTAGTTGCCATGATATCTAGTTTGATCCTTGTGTTTTCTATTTTATAACACTCTTTTTCATTTATATTATTGTTTTCTCTTTGTATGTTGTTCTTTCTTAAGAACAAATATGCTACTTTGTATCCCACTCAACACTTTGTGTAGGGCTGGGTAGTGTTTCTTGGGTATCAGTGCATATCTATTCACTTATGTGTATGAATTAATGCATGCATGAATTATGAGTTAGTTAAATGAATCAAAAGCTATTGTCCAAAATGATTCCAATAAGGAGAAACTACTCTAAAGGAGACCATCTGTTCTTTACTGGACAAGAACTGGAC